TTTTTTTTTTGAACGGCAATCAAATGTTTATTTATATATAATAAACGGAGTACAAGGGGTACCCCAAACCCATAACAATACTGTTAGACAAGTCTAAAATACCCTGAGTGAAATAGCAAAGTGTCGACCCCTACTAAAGGTGTCGACACTAGACTCGTGGCGAACTTCAGAGTACCGATGCTTAATCTTCACATCTCCCTGTACAGAACATCAATCTTCCCTAAAATGAGTTTCACTGGCAATCACAACATTGAGCATGCATTGACTACTTCTACTTTAACCCACTCAATCCATGAAGGAGTAGACTATAGTCAAAGAGCTGCTCAAAGTAGCCATCATGACCCAACTCCATTTCAATATACTAAGCAAAATTATACAGCCTTATAACTCCTCATCAGACCCTCTTTTTCCGACCAGCATGGAGACTTTTAATACATTCTACTGGGTTAATTAGCCAATCAGTGAATGTAAAAGCATACCTGTCCAGTTTTGCTGTACACCATTGGAAGGATCGCACTTGTATGATTTCCAGCAACTTTCTCGGGTCAGTTTTTTTATCTTGGAAAATCATTTGATTCCGAGCAAGCCACACTGTCCAGATTACAGTACTCCAAATGCAATCCCAGCCTTCTTTTACCTTTGGATCTTTGCTCCATTTCCCAAACCTCTGAAATGAATTCCAGCAATCCCTTTCCAGCCTAACCTCTGTTCCCCACCATTTAGCGCATTCTTGCCACACCCAACTGGTTATTTTGCATTTCAGAAATACGTGTTTGGAGTCTTCATCTTCCTCCTTGCAAAAGACGCATTTGCCATCTTCTGCTTCTCCAATAATCCCTCTAATAACCAAGTTGACTTTTGTTGGGATTCTGTCGAGCAAAAGTTGCCAGTTGAAGGCTGAGACTTTACTTGGAAATTTGGGATTCCATATTCTTTTGTATGTCGATATCTCATTTGTTTCTATCTGATCTTTTGTTAGGATTGAGTATGCTGTCTTAGTGGAGTATTGCCCATCCTTGTCATGGACCCATTCCCACGAGTCTGGCCTTCCTTGCTTGATTTTCTTGTCTTCTATCAATTGTTGGAGTTCCTTTGCCTCTTCTTTCTCCCATTCAAATAGCTTTCTTCTCCATTGGAGGTTCCAGCTCCATTGTTCATTTCCTTCGTTTCCCATTTGGTGGCACTTGTTGTCCTTTCCTGTGGATATCAAATACAGTCTAGGGTATTTATTAGCAAGATAGCCCACCCCGCACCAATTATCCCACCAAAAGCTCACCCTCTTACCATCCCCAAGCTTTATTCTAAACCCTTCCAACAGCCATCCTACTCTCTCCCTATCCATTTTATCAATGCAGCATACATCCCTCCACCATGTAGAGCCTAGTCCTTCTCTTTCTTTAATCCAGTCCAGCCAATGTCCCCCCCTCTCTCCATACTTCCCTATAATTACTCGCTTCCACAACCCCTCCTTATTTTCAGCAAGACGTCCCCACCATTTGCCCAACAACGCCAGGTTAAATTTCCTCAACTCCCTCACCCCCAACCCGCCTTCCTCCTTTTTTTTACACACCTTATCCCAGCTGACCCACTTTATTTTTCTCTTTTCACCCCCACCCCCCCATAAAAAACTTCTACGAATTTTATCAATAGAGTAGAGTATACCTTTCGGGATTAAGTAGACTGACATGAGGAACACGGGCAGGCTAGACAGCACTGAATTAATGAGCGTGATACGGCCTCCCAAGGATAAAAACCGACCCTTCCAAGTAGTTAGTTTTTTTTTGAATGAATTCACCATTGGCTGCCACATTGCCACTCTTTTATGATTTCCTCCAACTGGGATCCCCAAATATTTGAATGGAAGCTCCCCTTCTTTACAACACAGCCTGAACGCCATCTTATTTCTCCAATTGTCTTCAACCCCGATCCCCATTAATTGGCTCTTCCCGAAATTAATTTTAAGACCAGATACCAACTCAAAAGTTCTCATTATACTTTTAATGACCCCGATATTGATGAGCTTAATAATATATTTTCATGTTGACAATAATCACACCTCAAGTAGGTTAAGTAAAAATCGAAAACCCATTTTTACAGGCATAATGTAGGAAATTAAGAAGCAGCCGCTTTCCCAGAAGAGAGTCCAATTAACTATATCTTAAATTCCATCTGTATCAATCCTTAGTCTACCAATAGAACCATTCCCTCGATGACAACGGCAGTCTCTTCAAAGGATTTAATTTTCCTTTCTTTATGGGAAATAATCGAACGCAAAGGCTTCATAGTTGCCCAAAGTCCACGTTGAAAAAGACCTTTACTAATTTCTAAAATTTGAGCTGGAAATGGATAATATATATGTTTGTGTGATGAGTTGACTACTGATAGGTAATGAAAAACCAAGGATAGTTACAGGCCGTCCCACCATTGCATAATTTTTCGATGGCTTTCTATTTCATTGGCTTAACTTTGGCCACTCTGTTTGTTTTTAATACTGCAGGTTTGTCAGATAATGGTGAAATCAATGGAACTATAGGCGTTTGTTATGGAACGGATGGCAACAATCTACCAACAGCGGAGGAAGTTATAGCTCTCTGCAAGCAATATGACATAATCCAAAGGATAAGACTCTACGATCCAGACTTGAAGGCTCTCCAAGCGCTTAGAGACTCCAACATTGAGGTCATGCTTGGTATTCCCAACCCTGATCTCGAATCCATTGCTAAGAGTCAAGACAACGCAAGTACTTGGATTGCGAACTACGTCGGGAACTACACCAGCATCAAGTTTAGGTACGTTGCTGTTGGGAACATGGTGAGGCCTTCAGATTCATATGCCCAATTTCTAGTCCCGGCGATGCAGAACATTCAAAATGCAATTTCAGCAGCAGGGCTTGAGATCAAAGTATCGACTTCAATTGACACAAATGCCATCGGACCATATTACCCTCCATCAAATGCTTCCTTTAACTCAGAATACAAACCAATTATCGAACCTGTCATCCAGTTCTTAGTGAACAATTCAGCCCCATTACTTCTTAACTTGATCCCATATTTTGCTTATATTGACAACATCAATTACTTGACTCTTGATTTTGCTCTCTTTAAATCTCAGTCGCAACCTCTCACGGATGGACCTTTACAATACAATAATTTTTTTGATGCACTTTTGGATGCTGTTTATGCTGCACTTGAAAGGTCTAATGGGAGTTCTTTAGAGATTGTCATATCGGAGAGTGGATGGCCTTCAGCTGGTGGAACGGCAGCAACCATTGAGAATGCTGAGAATTACATCTCCAATCTTATACAACATGTGAAGAGGGGGACACCAAGGAAGCCAGAAAGGCCTATTGAAACTTATATTTATTCCATGTTTGATGAAGATAACAAAGAGCCAGAACTTCAGAAACACTTCGGACTTTTTCTTCCAAGCAAGCAGCTTAAATACCAATTCTTGAAGAAAAGGAATAAGAAGAAACGATTGCCAGTGGGGATAATTGTTGGAGTGTGTGCTTTGATTTTTGGATTAGGTTTCACTCTCTTCGTTTTATGGAGAAAGAGGAAAGAAAAGGAACAAGATGTTCTTGCTTTTAATGTTTCTTTTGGTGATGAGTTCAGGAATGGCATGGGACCTAGGGAGTTCTCTTATGATGAATTGGCTAAAGCAACAAAGAATTTTGCAGATGAGGAGAAACTTGGCGAAGGAGGGTTTGGGGCAGTTTACAAAGGTTTCTTAAGGGATTCTAGTACACATGTAGCTGTCAAGAGGATATCACGGAGATCCAAACAAGGCATTAAGGAGTATGAATCAGAAGTGAAGATTATTAGCTGTTTAAGGCAGAAAAATTTAGTGAAGCTTATTGGTTGGTGCCATGATAAGGAACTTTTACTAGCTTATGAGTTCATGCCTAATGGTAGCTTGGACTCTCATCTCTTCAAGGGAAGAAGCTTGTTATCGTGGAACCTTCGTTACAAAATTGTGCAAGGCTTAGCATCAGCTATCTTGTACCTGCACGAGGAAGGTAACTTTTGTGTGCTCCATAGAGATATTAAAACAAGCAACATTATGTTAGATTCAACTTTCAATGCTAAGCTTGGGGACTTCGGATTAGCTAGACTGGTTGACAGCGAAAAAGGGTCACAAACAACTCAGTTGGCAGGAACCATGGGCTACATTGCTCCCGAGTGTCATACCACCGGTAAGGCAAGTAAGGAGTCAGATGTATATAGTTTTGGAGTTGTGGCACTTGAAATTACATGTGGCAGAAAATCTATAGAGTACAGATATGATGAGGATGAGAATCAAGCACCATTGGTTGTTTGGGTCTGGGAAGCATATGGGAATCAAATGCTTCTTGATGTAGTTGACAAAAAACTTGGTAACAATTTTAATGAGAAAGAGATGGAGTGCTTGATTGTTGTCGGACTCTGGTGCGCACATCCTATTCGTAGTATGAGGCCATCAATCAGACAAGCATTGCATGTGCTTAATTTTGAAGCACCACTACCTAGTCTTCCAGCTAGGATGCCTATTCCCAAGTATGATATTCCTGGTACTTCTACAATCAAAACAAGTGAGCCTTATCTAACAAATGATTTAAATATGAGCATTACCATTCCTCGTTAAATCATTGTTTCAATGTAAAATTTTAGCTGCACTTGGAAAGTTGTTTATTGTATGAAATAGAATGTTATCTGAGTTCATTCTTAAACTATGGAATTGAATGTTAATTTTAAGTTTTTTTTTTTTTGGCAAAAAAAAGAAAGATATGTTTGACTTTGATCTCTTTAGAAAATTTACCCAAAAAAAAAAAAAAGAAAGAAAGAAAGAAAGAAAGGAGCACTATATTGAATCACTCAAGCTATAAAACTAAGTTTTACGGACAACCTTTCCTTTCAAAGCAAGGCATTAACGTGCCAAGTTGGAATCAAAATATGATGAATTGGTTAGATTTTGCGTCATTAATGAACTAATTTTGTTTGATTAATTTAAAGATTAATATATATGATTTATATAAATAAAATTTTTAACTTAATCATTAATTTTTTAAAATATTAATTAAAATATGATATTTTTGAAGATGTTGTCCAAAGAAACATCTTGCAAAACTCTTCTTCCTTAAATAAAATAAGAGTATTATTCAAAAATAAGAAAAACGCCCCACCATTTACAACTCTTGCAAGGTTTTCTGAAATCTTCTAAAGAGTTCTAGAGCTCTGTAGGTCCTAAGCAGCTTTAGATCTAGCTCCGTCTAGTACAGGTGGGCATGGTTCGATTTTAATTATAATCCAAATCAAATTATCCGTTAACTAAAATTTTGGGTTTTAAATTTTAATAACAATTAACCAAATAAAAAAAAGGATAGATTTTATCGATTCTGGTTACCTTTTTTAGAGTAATTATTTAGATTGATTTTGGTTTTAACTGAAAAATTATTTTTATATTTTTTGTATTTTTTTGAATTCCTTAATTATTATTTTATTAGTTTCAATCACTAAAAAATTAAAAATTATTTTCTTCCTTATCTCCTTCTCTATATTTTTTACCCTTCTCTCTTTTCTCCATTCTCCTTTTTTTTGGGGTAAATCTTCATATTACCAATCTTTTTTCTTCATATTGTGCTTCTTTTTTCTTTCTGTTTGCTACAGCTCCCTTTTTCTTTGATCTAGAGCTGAAAGGGAGATGAAAAAGAGGAGAAACAAGAAAAAAAAAAAAAACAATCTTTCATATTTTGATCTTTGTAAGTCGAGCCATGGCATCGCTGAAATGGTGTTGATTTGGTTCTAAGAGCAGATTGAAAGTTATCCACACAAGAAATGGCTGACCAATGAAACTTTTTTTTCGGTTTCCCGTCCGGTATTCGAGGCTTCGCCTCAATTAATCCGGATCCAACCCGCGTCGCGCACCTGAAATAGTGGGTGAATCTCCCAACGAGAGCTGCTGCGTTCGACCAATGAAACTTTTAAATAATGTAATAGTTTCATCTGATATGTTCAGCACCTTTTTTTAATGTTAAACTAGTATTGAAAGTGATACTCTTATGTGTTTAATATCCGTTTTTGCTTAAGATGTGTTTTTATGCCTGTAAATCCTCATCTATGTGATAAGTGTTCTCTTTCATAGAGATGTTGTATGGCTGTTTACTCTTTTTTTTTTTTTTAGCCTTTAACTTATTGTTTTTGAGACCTTTACCCCCCTAACATACAATATAAGTACATTCGCCCGTAAAATGCACGTAATTAAGGGAATTTACCCAAAATGAATGGAACCATCCATTTTCTGTTACACCATGCCTTCTCAGCGCAACATAAGCTCAAAACACTCATGTGGCATGTGGATCACATATTAATTTAAACTAAAAATAGAAAATTAATTTCTTGATTAAAATAAATCAAAATAAAATAATTAAATTAAGATGTCCTGATATTTGTAAAATTATTCAAGCCCTTAATGAATCTTCCTTGCATGTTAATTCATTTATGTATTCCATTTTTTCTTTTTTCTTTTTTTGAAAATGAGTGGGGTTAATTGCTACACCCTCAATATTTAATATTACACTTTTTTGACTTAATTGATTATTATACCTTTGCATTATATTCTTTCTTGGAATTTTGCCTCTTTTTTTTTTTACACCATTTCTTAAATAAATTAAAGTTATAATAGTCAATTAAGATAAAAAGACATGACATTTGTAATTAAAAATGTGACAATAACACTATTCTTTTAAATGTTGATTAAATTATTAGTTTTATACATTAAAATTTTAATTGACTAAGATTAAGAATTAAAAGAAGATATTTAAAAGGTTTATGCTATGTGGATACTCTATTTGTACAACTTTCATTTATAATTTTTACATATCATTGATAAGTTTATGTATATAATATTATAGATTCTAATAGAGTGAAAAGAACTGATAATTGAATGATATATAAAATTATATGAAAATGTTTTACTTATACATAAAAAGTTGTATCTTAATCATTTTCCTTCTTAGCCAAAAGAAAAAAAAAATCATTTTCCTTTAATTATATTGTATATTGGGGGTCTAAAAGTCTCAAAGACATTGAGTTAAAGGGCATCTAAGGGGTTAAGCCCCAAATAAATACACCAAAACATTAGTATAACTAGTTAGGGGATTTTTTAAAAAAAGTTTTTTAACAAGGTAATTACATTACAATTATAAATTTAGAGAACTTAGAGGATAAGGATAAATGTTGGTGGTCAGAAACAAAATCAAGACCAAGGTGCTATACCACCAAACCCTTACCATTGAGATACGAACGTGGTTGGCAAATATGGCTGTTTACTTGACAAATAAAATTTAGTTGTGTTGGAAAAAAAAAAAACCACCATTAATTTTTTTTTAATGAGAAAACACCATTAACTTTGGTTTGGAAATTGAGAGTAGTGCGGTGATAACCCAACCCATCGGGTAGTGCGGTGGTAACTCAACCCTATCTTCTCTCTCTCTCTCTTAATAAATTCATTCATTAACTTTAAAAATCATAAAGGTTACAAACTAACCCATATAGTCTAACATACCAGAGCACTATGAAATCTAACCCAAAATGTGTTAAACACTTAGTTAAAGAAATGATAATAGAGCAATATAATGATTACATGGATATAGCTGGCTCCAATTCTTGATATGGAGAAGCGCAAGTCAGCATAATTCACCAAGATCTATTGATGAAAAGGTAATTATTGAGATAATTTGTTGTTAAAAGCATTCCAAGGCCACATCGACCACCTTTCTTGTCTTGAATCTTCAATGAAAAGATGTAAAATAATGATAAAACACATACAAACTATATTCAAAAGGATGAACTCTCACATAAACCAGCCTTAAGGAAGGTAAGAACCCAACCCTCTCTAGTCTTTCTACATATTTTATGTAAAATTAAATACCAAATTTAGTTTTTAAACTTTTAATTTCAAATAATTTTAATCGTTAAACTATTTTTTTATATTTTTTTCATCTATCAACTATAAAAAATACATTTTTTTTTATCATTCCATTAGTTTTACCAGTTAAGTGACTTAAGTCTGTATGGTTGGCTTTTTTTTAGTTCTTGAACTTTTGTTTTATACATGTTTTTGCCCTTATACTAATATTTATTATATATTTTTTATCCTTAAACTTTTATTTTATGTATATTAAGGTCATTAAAGAAAATTAAAAAAATGCCAACAAGATAGACTTACCGTTAAAACTGACGAAAATGATTAAAAAAAAAAAAAGCATTTTTTATGGATTAGTCATTAGAGACTAAAATTGTTCAAAAATTAAAAATTCATATACTAAATTTGGCATTTAACCTTAATTTAACCACAATAAAATATAGCCGTAGAAAGCCCAGCCCCCCGAATTGGTGAAGAGGGAATGATGGAGAACGGAACCTAGTCGTTGAAGTCCTAGTTCAAGAGGTATACCTTCCCCTCTACTCCTCTCCCTTCGAAATACTGTAGAAGGAACCTATAAGGTGAAATCCAGTTAAGGTTTCGTTTCTGACGGACAATGGGACGATATTTCTGGCCTTAGTGTACTGTGTAAGTCTGTAAGTGATTATTTTCTTGATTGCCTCTCTCATTGATTTTAATGTTCAGTTCTCTACAATTTCCGTATTCAATTCAGTCACTAGGTAATTGTAGCAAGGAAAATATGTGATATTGGGTCTGCTCTAAGTTAAATTTTTTTTTTTGAACAGAAAAAGAGATATTTATTAAAAAATGGAATACAAGAAGTACTTCAAACCCATAAACATTCCAATTTGAAAGGCATAAATTAATGAGAGCCGAACAGTCCTTGTTAATTTTGGATGCTTACTGTATGGTGTCGACACCAAACTTATGTGTCGACACCACACCCGTGTCGGGTTTCTGTCTGCTCTAAGTTAATTGAATTAACATAATCCTAACCCAGATGTGAATCACATGATTTCTTTGTTTGCAATGTTGGGTTCAATCTAGGATTTATCAAATCAACATAAGCCTTACGCAAACCAGAGAAATTTCTAGTAGACTAATTTGTAATTGGTGTAGCCGAGGGTTCATCAAATTAATGTAACCCAGATGCATAACTAATATTAGAAGTTGGGTTTGAAATAATGTTCTTGAATCTACACAACCCAGATGCGAACCACAATTTTTGTGAGCAAGGCTAGTCTGTGATATTATATGGCGTGAAACAGAATGGATTTACTTTTTGGGCTGTTTGATTTCTGTAATTAATAGTAGTTAGCTTCAGCTTGTTACCTTAACTTGTCTGCAAATCCTGACTGCAAAGATCATATTGTTCCTGTCTCTAAGTAGGGCTTGTGGCTAGTAGAAAAAATTGATGGGCATTATGGGGTCACATTTCCTAGGAATCGGTATGGCTTTTTGGAATGAATGACTTCTTATGTTGATGCATGCTATTGGCATCTATGAATTAGTAGCTCCGAGTATTAAAATGCTCTTGTTCTTATTAAATATCGTTGGCTACTGGCAACTAAGAATGAGTTGCTCCTAGTAGTAAGATGCTGTTGTTGGCCATTAATATTTGACTACTGGCTGCTAGAATGAGTAGCTCCTAGTAATAAAGCTCTGTTACTCACCCATGATACCAATGTCTACTGGCTACTAAGAATGAGTAGCTCCTTGTTGTAAATCACTATTTCTGCTGGTAAAATGCCTGTTGAATGTTGATTTGGAACCCATAGGTATGCTTGAGTTTATGTTTCCCTCAAAATTTCCCTCAAAATTTCCCTCAAATTACCTCGCTCCTTGATTTACTGTTAAATTCTCTGCAACTTTTGTATCTAATCTTTTGCATTCACATTTCATAGCAGCAAGGTATATATTGTTTTGTGATATCGGGTTTGATGTAGGGTTTTATTAGATTAGCACAACCTTGATGTGAGCCAAAAAGAGGCTAATTATAATATTGATGTGTTCTAGGGTGTATTGAATTAACATAACATAGATGTGAACTGCTAATCCGTGAAATTGGGCATGACATAAGGTTTCTTGAATCAACAGGACCCTGATGTGAGACATAATTTTCTAGAGTAAGGCTAACATGTCATATTATGTGGTGTGAAACACAGTGGACACGTTCTAGATTTATACTTCCCTTGAGTTTGGGCATATTGTCTTTTTTCTACTCCATTTGATCTTTGAATTTGATGTCAATTTGTTGATCTTGTTACCTCAAAATTTAAGGTTCAATTTTGGCTGCTAAGGTCATATGAGTCCTGTCTCCAAGTAGAACTTTTGGTTAATAGGCAAGATTCTTGTTGGTTGGATTTGGGGGCTTCTAGAGTACATACATTGGCATGTATAAAGTCATGTTTCTTTGAGAAGGCTTTCTTCATAGTATGGCTCATAGTTGTCAAAATGATATTGCTCACCCATAACAGCCATATGTACCAGTAAGACTTTGTTCATAAAAGCAACAAAGCCTAATACTCCTCGTAGCAAAATGCTATGCTCACCCGTAACATTGATGGCTTGTGACTTCTAAGGAGTAGGTCCTAGTAATAAGTCATTATTGCTCTCCTAGGTAAGACATTATTTGCACACCCATGATATTGATGGCTCTTAGCTGCTAAGAATGAAAGATTCTTTGTAGTAAGAGGCATTGTTTGTCACCCTTAATATCAAAGAATGGACTATTTGCTAGAGAGTGTAGGGATGGAAGATTGTATGTAGGGTTGTATTATTCTTCTCCTGGTTAAATGAATAAGTAGTTAGTTTTGATTTTCTCTTGATTTGTTGTTTTCTAGTTTTGCAAGTTTAAATGTTGTGTGTTAATTTTTTGGGCTAAGTATTTGTTACTTTAGAATTGTATGGTTTGTTTTTATCTCTCAAGTTATCTGTAAAGCTTTACTAAAAATTTATGGTTGTTGCTTTTACTCCTTTGATCTTTAAGTAACAAAGAAATGCATGAGCATAAGCTGTTTTGTTTGTTGATAACCTGTAGGTAATATCAGCTCGTCTATTAAAGAAGAATTGAAAATGTAGAACAATTATTTCTCAGAAATGCACAAGCATATTATATGAAAATCAAAGTAATAAGAAAAAAATATACTAAATTCCAAAAAGTAATTAGACTAATTTATTACTCAAAACAATTTTTTGCAGGCATGTTATGAAAATTAGCGAGGTATAGTAATACTCATGTTGGGCGAACATGGCTCACTTGTCCTGATGATTGGGGTATTAGGAATATCATACTTGGGAATAGGCATCTCACTTGGAAGATTTGGCAATGCTGCCTCAAAATTAAGCACATGCATTGCTTGCTTGATTGATGGTCTCATACTATGTATAGGATGCACGCACCATAAGCCAACAATTAACAAACATTCCATCTCTCTCATATCAAAATCTTCAGAGAGTTTCCTGTCAACCACATCAAGAAGCCTTTCTCTGCCATAAGCTTTCCACACCCAAGTCACCAACGAAGCCTGATCCTCATCATATCTAGGTTCTATTGATCTTCTTCCACATGCAATTTCAAGTGCCACAACTCCAAAACTGTAGACATCTGATTCCTTGCTTGTCTTGCCTGTTCTATGACATTCAGGAGCTATGTAACCGATGGTTCCAGCCAATAGAGTTGTTCGTGATCCTTTTTTATGGTCAACTAATCTGGCTAATCCAAAATCACCAAGTTTAGCATTGAAAGCCAAATCCAACATGATGTTGTTTGCTTTAATATCCCTATGCAGCACACAAAATTCTCCAAACTCATGCAAATACAACAATGCAGATGCCAAGCCCTGCACGATTTGGAATCTAAGATTCCATGGCAATAGACTTCTTCCTTTAAAGAGATGAGAATCTAAGCTGCCATTAGGCATGAACTCGTAGACGAGTAGGAGTTCTTTTTCATGGCACCAACCAATAAGCTTAACTAAATTCTTGTGCCTCAATTGGCTAATAATCTTCACTTCCGATGTATACTCCTTGATCCCTTGTTTAGATCTCCTTGAAATCCTCTTAACTGCAACATCGATATTTGAACTCCGCAAGAAACCTTTATAAACTGATCCAAACCCTCCCTCTCCTAATTTCTCTTCTTCAACAAAATTCTTTGTTGCTTTAGACAATTCATTATAGGAGAACTCTCTAGCTCCCATGCCATTCCCAAATTCATCATCGAAGGACGCGTTTAAGGCAAGTTCACCCAATCTACTTCCTTTCCCCTTTCTCCAAAGAAAGAACAGAACGAAACCTACGCCAGAAAACAAAACACATGCCACAATAATTGATCCAGCTATTAATCCTGTTCTCTTCTTTCTTCTTCTCGGAGGAGAGGGATTTGTTTCAAGAGCTGGGATGTTAAGCTTATTTATTGCAATCAGAATTGGCCTGAATGCAACTAGATCATTAGCATTTGAGAGCTCGTTGTCAGCCATCACGCTTTTCTCATCAGCGCCAAATTTCTTAGCAATTGCAGAAATGTTATCCCCCAAGTTGGGTGTGTAGGTGAGCAAGTAATTTAAACCGCTGGCTTTCTGGTAATAAGTCGGACAGGCACATAGGAGTGGAATAAGCAGGTGAGCGCCCACCGTGAGATTCCACGGGTCAAAAGGGTTCTGAGCCTGAATAGCGTCACAAGAGGCGAGACCCTGGTAAGTGTAGTTGGAGACCACGAAATAAGTATCAGACCAATTAAGGACGTACGAGGAGTTGTGCTGGTAGTAGTTGCCAGAGCAGTAGCAATTGACGGGCACAAACACCAGCTCGTTGAAAGGGATAGTGGTGGTTTTGGAGGGGAACATGTTAAGGGAGGTGATAAGATTAGCATCGGCCCCTAAGAGGGAAGCTATGGTATCGGCAGAGTCATAGGGAGGGGTGGAGCGGAAGGTGACATAGGAGAGGCAAGATTCCTGGAAGCTGTTGCAAGAATAGCCTTTGATGGTGTCGTTGTGGTTGCAATCGAACTGCTTATAAGGTTGTTGGGCATGGCTGCCTCCCCATTGCAACACTGCCGCCACCAAGAACAAAGCTGTGAACTTCTCCATAGACGCCATACCCAGTTGCTGATGGCTAGGTAGGGAGAGATGACGAAAGGAGTGTATCCAGCTGTGCGGTTTTTGGACAATTTAATGGTGGAAGTCAGCATTGCTGTTTTTAGTCAATTTGTTAGGGGGAGAATGCCACAGGGGTTTTTAATACTTTGTTTGACAATGAGAATTTTGATTTGACCAACGAAAATATAATAAGATAGGTTCCATCTTATGTTAGCAGGAGAAAGTCAGACTTCAAGAAAAATAAGAAAGTGAAAATATGTTGGACCAGGTCTCATTTGTGCAAATTGGTGCCTGAACTTGCGCTGTTGTAGAAAAATCAGCCCTTATTATTTTTTTTTCCACTGCGGTTAAGATAGGTGCATGAATTGGTTTGTATTCTGCTCTAAAAGAAGCATTTGATGGAGGGTAATATGGTCCAATGGCACTTGTGTCAATTGGGGTCTATAATTTGAGTTTGTTTGACTTGTGGTGAATCACTTCATATTAGACTGTTGTAGCGACTTTGCCACTTCATATTGCATTAAAAAAAAAAAAAAAACCCCTTGTTTTCTAATGTAAATTGTATTGAATTATAAAATAAAGACGATTGATGGAGGGAGAGTTCCAAAATTAAGAGCCTAATTCTCATATAATAATTAGTGTTATGTACTCTAAATTATTCCAAATTACAAATACTTTTTAATTTCCTAAAAATAATAAATACATAAATGCAGATGCAATGTAAGTACATAAAATGATTAAAGAAAAGATTGTGCTTATATTAACCATATAAGCATACATTCTGAATTTCAAGGGGCAAGTTTAGCCATTGTAACTTAATTAGCTTTGAGAAAATGGCAAAATTGACCCCATGATCAACTTCTAGCCCAAACTCAGCTGATCCATCAAGCAGTATAGAGGACCAATTGATTAAGGTAGCATTCAGGTTACTTTTTGATACAACACTTTATAAAAGTGTTATTTTATTATAGTTAAATTAATTTTAATTGATATTTTATATAATTTAGTGGTTATATTAATTAATAAATTTTTTTTTCGAAGTATTTATTATATAATAACATAACTTTTTTCATAATAGAATATTAGTCATAATCATAACACTTTATAGTAATTTGAAACTCAACCTAAATCTTTTTAAGGAGAAAGGGCATTCCCACCCTGGAGGAAGAGGGGAGCAAAGTAGTAACTGCAGTTGCTTTATCAATATCAATTTAAGTCAAAATCTCAGGCCAAATAGCAAAAAAAATGAAACTAGGTTAAGAACTCAAATCAAACGAATACGCGTAGAAAATATTTATACGACAAAAGAGTTAACTGCAGTTGCTTTACCCAATAAAACATAATAAATTGCACAGCTGAAACTCCACCAATTGTTGGTACTGCTCTTACATTTTCCTCATGTTTTGCAGATTATGATTATCTAAACAAAGGTTGGAGACACATGCAATTTATTACTTTCTTCCCCGCAAGGGTTATTCATCGTTACTTACAAAAAAAAAAACCGCAATTTTTCGTTCAAACAAGTTATGTTTTAAAATTATCTAGACTCTTCTAAAGCAAAGAGTTCGGTCTTACACGCTACCATGGAATACCAAATGCGACTATCATGTCCATTTCAAACACCAAAGTGAGCAAAAAGGCTGTCCAAACTTTGAATTAAGCTGTCAAAAGAGAAAATAAAGAATATAATATGCTAGGATAAACTCCGGATGCTGTTATTAGAACATAAAAATCAAAAGTAATTGGCACATAAACAAGTAGAAAAATAAAATGAATTAACACTACTGGCTTTGACATTTCATCAAACACTTGTAAAGCATTTTACTCGATATCAATTCATCCCCAAATATCAGGCCAATTAAGAACGCAAGTTGTGAATCAAATATGAAAATCTGCAAACTGGAACTCAGAGCTATAACAGGAGAATGGGTACCTTAATCCAGAATCAAAAGCAACAAACCGTTCATTTGCTGAGATTGGAGATTACGACGAGGCAACTTTAAGGGCTAGGAAATGGAAGTAGACTGGATTATTTTGTTAGCTGAAGAAACCCCACCTGGCAGAACAAAGCCTTGATAATGGAACAAAGCCCGCCTCGCCAGAGAAGGGAAGGGAATGGGTTTGGCAGTGTTGTCGTAGTCGGAAGGTGTCGCTTGTTGTAGTCTTGGTTGTCGTTATTGACCGAAGATCGGGTGCTCTACTTGTGTCAGAGTCCGTGTGTTTTGAAAGGAGTAAACAACTTCTAAAAACCTTATCTGTTCCCAGAAAATGTAATATGCAATTTGCATTGACTGAAAGTTGTTTTCCATTAACCACATTTTCTTGTGATTGCCAAACATCAGAAAATGAGGAAAATATCTATGAACCTAACAGACCCAAGCTGACCTGCTGAAACTGCATTCTGAATGCACATGTTCTGCATTGCAAGGGCAAGAAATTGTGCATATGAATCCAAAGGCCTCACTATGTTCCGAACAACAATATACTGAAACTTGAGCTTTCGTAGTTCTTGTAGTTACTTTTATTACAGCAATTTATGGTTGTTACTTTTACTTCTTTGATCTTTAAGTAAGCTGTTTAATTTGTTGAGGACCTGTAGGCATAATCAGCTGGTCTATTAGAGAAGAACTGAAAAAATGTAGAACAATTGTCTTGGAATTGCACTAGCATACATTATATAAGATAAAATATATTAAATTCCGATGAATAAGTAGACTTGTTTATTATCAAAGCAATATTCCAGGCATGAGATGAAAATTAGCGAGGTACAGTAATACTCAAGTGGGATGAATAGGCCTCCCTTGTTTTGAGGATTGGGATATTAGGAATATCATACATGGGTATAGTTATCTTACTTAGAAGATTTGGTAGTGCTGTATCAAAATTAAGCACTTGCATTGCTTGCTTTATTGATGGTCTCACAGTATCAATAGGATGCGCGCACCATAAACCAACAATCAACAAACACTCCATCTCTTTAAAATCAAAATCTTTAGAAAGTTTCTTGTCAACCAAATCAAAAAGCCTTTGGTTTTCATAAGCTTCCCACACCCAAGCCACCAATGAAGCTTCATTTTCATCATATTTAGGCTCTATTGATCTTCTTCCACATGCCATTTCAAGTGCCACAACTCCAAAGCTGTAGACATCCGATTCCTTGCTTGCCTTACCTTTTCTATGACACTCTGGAGCCATGTAGCCAATTGTCCCAGTCATTAGAGTTGTTCGTGATCCTTTTTCATGGTCAACCAACCTAGCTAACCCGAAATCCCCAAGTTTAGCATTAAAATTCAAGTCTAACAGAATGTTATTTGTTTTAATATCCCTATGTAGCACACAAAAATCTCCTTCCTCATGCAAATACAACAATCCTGATGCCAACCCTTGCACAATTTTGAATCTAAGATGGTGGTGTATAAATACAGAAGTAATGTAAGTAGTGATGGATGGAAAAATCCGCGACAAAAAAGAAAAAAATCGAAAGCGACCAAAATCATAACTGCTAGATAAGGTTTGATTAATTGGATTTTGGTTTTTTACTAAAAATCAAATTGAATTAATTTCAAACGGTTATAATTTGGTTGTTATGTATAAAAACCAAAAAATTGATGACTTGAGAGTGAATAGAATTAAAAAATCTAGCCTAAAAAGCTTTTATATAAAATTTTTAATGGTTTTTAGATTTATTTAAAGTTTTCTTGTCACTTTTTACTAAATTATTTATTTACTTGGCTAATTTTTTAATTTTATAATGATTGAAATTAATAAATAATAATTAAGAAATTAAAAAAATTAATTAAAAATATATAAATAATTTTTTGTTAAAAATTGAAACCAATCTAAATAGTTATTCTCAAAAAATTAACCAAAACTAATAAAATCCATTTTTTCTAGTTTGAATAATGGTTTTTAAAACTTAATAACTAAAATTTTTATCAACCAGTAATTCAATTTCAATTACAACCAAAATCAAACCATGCCCACCCCTATATGTAATTACTTCTAATGATTCAAAAAAAGATTACCCTTATATTAAACATGCAATTGCGTACTTTTTGATTTCAAGCCCTTGCAACTCAGCTTGGAGAAAATGGCAAAATTAATCCCATTATCAAATTCTAGCACAAACTCAGCTGATCCATTAAGCACTTCTGAGGTCCAATTGATTAAGAGTTCGTTTGACTAAACTTAAAAGGCATTTGCCTTGAAAGCAATTCTTTTTAAGAAAGGAGGAGAAGGATGGGTATTCTCACCTTCGAGGAAGAGAGAAGCGAAAGAGTAACTGCAGTTGCTTTACCTCATGTTCTAAACTTTATTGCACTGAAACAAAAACATCTGAAACTCCCCCAATTGATGGTACTGCTCTTTCATTTTGGTTATGTTTTGCGGATTATGATTATCTAAACAAAGGTTGGAGACAAATGCAATTTATTTACTTATTAGTCATTACTTTATTCTTACCTGCAAGGTTTATTCATCATTAGGTTAAAAATGGAAAAAAAAAAAAAAGGAGAGAAAAGCAGCAGCAATTTTTCGTTCAAACAAGTTATGTTCTAAAATCATTTAGACTCCTCCAGGAGAAAAGAGTTTGGTCTTACACGCTACCGTGGAACACCAAATGCGACCATCATATCCATTTCAGATTCCAAAGGGACCAAAAAGACACTCCAAACTTTGAAAAGAACATTTCTTAAGCTGCCAAAAGAGACAATAAAGAATAAAATATGCTTAGGATAAACTCGGGATACTGTTATTGGAACATAAAAATCAAAAGTAATTGGAACATGAACAATTGGAAAAATCAAACAAATTAACACCATTGGCTTTGGCATTTTATTGAACAACTTCTAGAGCATTTTACCCATATCAATTCATCCCAAAATATCAGGCCAATTAAGAACACAACAAATTTGCAATTGGAAACTCAGAACTATAACAGGAGAATGGGTACATTAATGCAGAATCATAACCAACAAACCCTTGATTTGCTGACATTGTACACTACGACAAGGCAACTTTAAGGGCTGGGAAATGGAAGTGGACTGTGTTATTTTGAACAAACACCACCTCGACAAACAAACCCTTTTTTTGATCAGCGCCAAACAAACCCATGATAGCCGAACAAAGCCCACCTCGCCGGAGAAGGGAAGGTAATGGGTTTGGCAATATCGTCATAGTCAGAAGGTTGTTGTGCAGTTTTGGCTGTCGTCGTTGATGCAAAATGGGGACCCCGACCTGTGTCAAAATCTGCCTGTTTTGGAAGGAGAAAACAACTTCCAAAAAATTTAGCTGTAAGTTATTTTTCAGAAAATTTTGTTGTTTTTTTTATTTCGAATTAATTCTAAATTAACTGTAGTTTTTTATTTTATTTTTTAAAATAGATAAATATTTTTTAATTTAACTCTTACTATTTATTTATTTTTCTAATTATCCTATCATATAAAGTCTAATTTTATTTTTTTAAGAGTAATATAATAAATATATAAATTGTTCTTAAATTTTTAATTTGAAAAAAAAAAACAGCACTTATTTTTATAGAACAGGGAGCAATATGCAATTTTCATTGAATGAAGTTGTTTTCCAACAATTTACCCGTATGTAAGGGCTTTAATAACCATTTATGGTTGTTTCTCATCAAAACAATTTAGGAAAAAAAAGAGTAAAAATTGGTGGAAATTAGAGAATCCCAAAACTCACAGTCGAAGAATCAGCAGATCAAGCTGACAGAAGGGTAC